TATGTACATGCTATAGGTAGAAAACAGTTTATTGTTAGAGATTTTGTAACCTAAAAATGGGGAACTAAGCAAAGTAGGACAGATATGTTTCTACCCATCAGTACATAATTCTGATCTAGGATGAATATTGAGTGACTGTAATAAGTAAAATGTTAACTCTTCAGATGTTTAATATTTGCAAATTTGTATTTGTCATTACATAACTAGGTTGTAGCTTTTGAGCACTGAAAGAAAATGAAATCATTATGTTGTATCATTCTCTTTTTTTCAAATTTGTATAGTTCTTTGCATGAAAAACTATTATCACATTAGATGAGTGCTGTGGCTCATGCCTGTAATCCTAGCTACTCAGGAGGCTGAGATTTTAGGATTGAGGTTCAAAGCCAGTCCGGGCAGGAAAGGTCACGAAACTCTCATCTTCAATAATCCACCAGAAAACCAGAAGTGGCACTGTGGCACAGTGGTAGAGCACTAGCCTTGAGCTGAAGAGCTGAGGGACAGCACCCAAGCCCAGAGTTCAAGCCTATTGACCGATAAAAAAAATCACATGAATATAAGGTAAGTTAAATGAGTTGGAACTGCTGAGAAGAACTTTTGAAGCCAAGTTCTGGTGTCTCATCCCTGTAATCCTAGCTACTCATGAGGCTGAGATCTGGATTCCTGAGTTTAAAATCCAGCTGAGGCAAAAAAAAAAAAAAGGCTTGAGACATCATCTTCAATTAACCAGCAAAAACCAGGTTAGTTAGTGATGTAACTCAAGTGGTAGAGCTCTAGGCATGAACAAGCCAAGCACACACAGGTTCTGAATACAAATGCCAGTAACACTAGAATAAAGAACTTTTGAAATGTACAGAGAGAAACAGATGTGTTATCAATTACCTTAGTACTTTAAAAACTTAAAAAAAATCAGTTCGCTGCTGTTGATGACAAATGCAAAAGATAGCAGGTTGAGAATCTGAGGATCTGGGCTGAAGTCCTAGTCCTACTGCTCGTATCCTTAGAAAGTTGGTCATTGTGGTACACACCTGTAATTACAGCACTCAATAGGCTGAGGCAGGAGGATTGAAAGCTTCAGTCTAGCTGGGCTACCTAGTGAGAACTTGCTTGAAAAATATGTAAAAGAGAGGAGAAAGAGAGAAGGAAGAAAGTACTGAGGAAGGAAAGTGTGTGTGTGTGTGTGTGTGTGTGTTTGTGCACGTGTGCACGCGCACGTGAGAGAGAAAGAGAGAGAGACAGAGAGGATTTTCACATTGTGTTCTGGCCACTTAAGATTCCTAATTCTGTTGCTGTATGATCATTTTATTTACAAGCACATGCTGGAGATAAGTACTGATAGACACAGAATTCTTCATGGAATTCTTTCATTAATAAGATACATTTTGCAAATCTTTATATTAGTTACTGCTAGAACGGTAGCTGCTACTGGCACCAGTTGCCAGAGTTATCCTTTATTAAGTTTTTACTAAGTGATAGTCATGGAGTCTGGTGCTAAGTATTTTGTTATGCATTTTGTTATCATTGACTTATAGAATCTGATTACAGTTCTATAGATGGAGAAACAGATTAAAAACTGTAATGTTGCTACCTTATCACATGCTTAATAGGTAAAATCTCAGCCTTTTTTTCTAATTCTCAAACTTATGTTTTTCATTTTCCCCCTTTATGAATGATAGGTAGTTCAGCATTAGTTGCATAATTTGGAGTATCTCAGGTCTTTGTCAGCATAATCTAGTGTCATAACTTTAAATAATATCATGCAATGACATCTCCTAAAGTTAAATCTGCAATGCAACTTTTACTTGAGTTCTAGATTTGCATACCCACATAGCTCCTCAACTCCTCCACTAAATATCTAACAGGTGACTGAAACACAACACATTCAAAACCAAGCTCTTAAATTTTCCACTGAATTTCTCTACCCAAAGTTGGACAACTAACACTAATTCCATTTTTCTTTCTTGACTAAAGCTTAATACCATCCACGCTCTTCTCATTCTCTTAAATCTCACATCAGATTGTTCAGCAAAGTCTGTCAGTGCTTCTGAAAAATAAGTCTAAGCATGATGTTTGTATCATAGTCCATTCTAGTCCTGCAAGAATGTCTCAGAATTTTTAAGTTAAGATTAGAGCCTAGTATCTGCATTGGAAGTCAAAAAAATCATTGTAAAAATCATTTACAAGCTTACAGTGAGGAGTTATATACATTTTAACCTCTACTAGAATCTCTGATCAATTATTTTAGTATTACTGAAAGATGGAAGGATTTATCTATTTTAGCCTATTGGCCCACCTCCTTTGCTTTTCTTCTGTTTTTACTCTAACACAAGGTTCAGGCAATTAGAGATTTAAATGAATCAAATTTTCTATCCTGGAAGGAATTTGGAGCTAAGCATCTTCTGTAAGTACATCTGAATATGTTCACATGGCTTCTTTCACATTTCAACTTGCAAGCCTGCAGTCACTTGGTGACTTTGAGCCTTGGGGATTGAGTTCTTCCATACTGGGAGCTAATGCAAACCTACTATTTCAAGTTGCATTTGTATTTCTCCAGCATTCTGCAGCAGAAACTCTCCTCAAAGGCCAGATTCTCTGATTTACAGTAACTCGTGTCTTCTACCCATGAGAGTCTTTTCTGGAGTCTTAAATTGGGATTCATATTATCCTAGGATTTGGGAGACAGAGGAGTGGTAAGGATGTCAGCTTTTCTAAGATTTCAAAAAAAAATGAACTCACTACAATTATTTTAACATATGCTTTTCTTTCTTTTTTCTTTATTTAAATTGGTTATGGGGCTTGAACTCAGGGCCTGGGCTCTGTCCCTGAGATCTTTTGCTCAAGGCTAGCATTGTTATTTTGGACTATAGCTCCACTTCTGGTTTTCTGTTGGTTAACTCGAGATAAGAGTCTTATGGACTTTCCTGTCTGGGATGGCTTTGAGCTATGATCCTCAGATTTCAGCTTTTCAAGTAGCTAGGATTACAGGTATGAGTCACCAGTACCTGACTAGGCTTTTATTTTATTTTTTTAATTTTCTTTTTCCAGTCCTGGGGCTTGAACTCAGGGTTTGGGCACTGTCCCTGAGCTTCTCTTGCTCAATGCTAGCACTCTACCACTTGAACCACAGCACCCCTTCTGGCTTTTTCTGTTTATGTGGTACTGAGGAATCGAACCCAGGGTTTCATGCATGCTAGGCAAGCACTTTAACACTGAACCACCTTCCCAGCCCTGGGTATGCTTTTTTATAGTGCACTTTTTGAGTTCTATCTTATCTTTTTTTTTTTGGTCTGGTCTTGACGCTTGAACTCTGGGCCTGTGCTCTGTCTCTGAGCTTCTTTTGCTCAAGGTGAGTGCTCTACCACTAGAGCACAGCACCACTTATAGCATTTTTTAAAATAGTTTATTGGAGATAAGAGTCTCATAGAACTTCCTGCCTGGGCTGGCTTTGAACCATGATCTTCAGATCTCAGCCACTTGAGTAGCTAGGATTACAAGTATGAGTCACCAGCCCAGTTTATAATTTTGATAGAAAACAAAATAGGTTTTTCTGATCCTTTCAAATCTTCTTTTTATTTTCTTTGTACCTGATTGTGTGCTTGTTTATTAGTCCATTATATAATTAATATATATGCTTAAAGTGTCTATGGATTGCATTGGGCTACGTCTGAGTTTTCCACATAATTTCACATATAATTATATTCAAATGAGGAAATATACATATTTCCATAAAAATTTAGAGATTAGTTCAGTACACAGATTAGGAGTATTTTAAATATAATGTATCATCATGTACAACTCAGGAGATGCAAATATAAATCCAAACTTTATTATTAATTTTTAATGCTAAGTCAAAGATACTTGTTTCTATTTGCAACTGTTTGCTACTTGAAAACTAGAAGTCAAGGAACATTATTGCATATAGTTATGTACTGTAAAATTTAAAAGTTAAAATATAGGTGCCAAATAGAAGCATGATGATGTCTAGGTGAAGTTTGTAGGAAAAGAGCCACTGGAAGAAATAGGAATACTAACAAATTAAATTGTGACTAAATATATTACTTGTCATATTTTCAGGCAAGCTAAGGGCATGCTCTATTTCCCTACAACCAAAATCAAAATTCAAAATATTTTCTGTACCTGCTTGACTTATGACAAAAGTCATAAGTCATAAAGCCAGACCCTGGAACAATCATGTCATGGAATTCCAATCCATGGCTTCCTCTGGGGAAGAAAGAGCACTAAATGTCCTTTCTAACATTTTGTTAAATTTCTTTCTCTTTCCCATGTCTGATCAGTGATAGTACCACTAATCATCACAAGACTTCTGTGCTCTTCCTATAAATGCCGTGCTCAGCACAAGCTCACTCTACTTTCATGGTTTTTCTGGAGCTGACTCTCAGCCATACTACATACCCAAGCCCATAAACATTTCATTCCCAACCATGCTGCCAAGAAGTAAATCAAATGACAATCTTATACCAAGGTGCCATCAGTCTCATTTCCAAGAAGTAAGACACTTCGGTGAGCAAATACAGACATTTGTAAATGTGTATTCACTCACAGTTTTCAAGTGCTGACAAAAAAGGAGAAAGTAGCACAATTCAGACCAAAAGGGCACAAAACTACATGGTTCAGATTATGCATATATAATAAATAGTATACTGGAATATCTGTCTATCTATATATACTCCAAATATAAAAGCAGTATGAAAAATTAGTACATGCAAATTACTCTATTATATAGCCTTGCGAAATTTTAGCACATAGAAGGAGAACCTAGTAATACAGTTAAAATTAAGGAACTCTTAGATACAGCAAGAAATTCAGAAGGAAATGGAGGAGGAAAAAAAAATGAAGACATGAGTCAAAGAAAAGGAGAACCATACAGAAGATACTTACCCATGGTCCCATTTTGCAATCTGCTGACTTTAAGAGAAAGAAGAAAGGGCAAAAAGCATGGTCCAATCACATATATCTTTAAAACATCTCAATCAAAAGGATATGAATGTACCAAAATCTTAATAGCTAATTTTCTAATAGGGTTGAAGGGAGTTAAAATGTACAGGGCAGAAGTGGCACTGAATCGCGAGATTGCTTTTCCTTTATTCAATACTATAAATGTCTGAAAAAGAAAAACACAGCACATAAAACATAATTTAGAATATACATTAACCATACTTAAATAGAAATGTAAGAATGGGGGGGAGGGAGGAGGATTGGGTTGGGGGGCGGGGAAGGCTGGGAAGGGATATGAAGGGTAAACAAAGGAGGAGGCTGCAATGCTTGATAAGAAATGTACTCATTATCTTGCCCATGTAATTGTAACCCCTCTGTACAGTATGTTCACAATAAAAAAATAAAAAAATATAAAAAAGAAATGTAAGAATATATTAGAAATATTTCTTTTTAAAATAATATAGTAATCTAGTAATTATCAACATATAACAGGGCTTTAATGCATTTTCTCACTGAGACCTAGAGCTCCCCTAAATTGGATTTTAGGAAAACATAAAGAACAGCCAATTGTCAATGTCACAGGAATCCTTAGCATCTTATCAAGTTTCAGCATTAGTTTAAAAACTACATCTATAATTCCCATAAGTACACAGCTGAGGTTTTCATTACTCCTGTAGTTATATGTTTCTCAAGAGAACTTCAAAGTTTTCCAAGTGTGTGCTCTGCTAAAACATTTTTCCCCCACACATATTCTCTGTTATTATTATGTCTATATAAAGCTGTGGTAAGGAGAAAGTCTCTGTTGTGGAGACTTGATTAAATTTGCTAAAGATCAAAGTGACTTGTATAGAGGCAGAGATAATACAGAAGAATCGGGTACTCCTGAAAATGTGAATACTGAAAAGTATTTTCAAATATTGAAAATATTGAAAAGTATTCTCCCATTTCCATTTCCTATGTCACAACACTGCAAGAGCATCAGATCAATACACACCCAATTTAAGATATAATTAATATGTGGAAGTGATCAATTTTGCTCTTCCTCTATTTCCCACGGCAGAATGCCTCTTCAATTCTCTGCCTGTCTCAAGAACACTAGTTCAAATGGGTGCTTCCAAAAGGTCGTCTAGGTTCATTGATCCATTACCTGGCCAGGCCCACCCACATCCTGGTGATATTTGCACAGAGAGGAGGAGGCTGACTGCTCTTCACCATCATCTCTAAGATCCAGCCCAGAGGAAACAGAGGAAATAAAAGCAATTTGGCTAAGAACTCACTTTCTTATTGATATAGAATGGGTCCAGGTCCTCCAGGGGCTCTGACACCATCTCTGGAGGAACATCTCCATAAATAAATGGAAGGGATTTTCCTGCTTCCAAGTCACTATTTGGCTTTGGGCCATTTTCATCATCTTCATCCTTACGTTCCTGCTTGGGTCTCTTAGCTTTCTCTTCTGCAATGCGTTGTTCAATAGCAGCAAGAGATTCCCTGGTAAAGAAGCGGAAGCTGTCAGGTCCTGGCGGTACCAGCACTGATTGTGCCATCTTTTCATCCTGCTCCTTTAGTCACTGTTTAGCTCCTCGCATAAGAAAGTGCTACAGAAATGGGGTAGGAGGGGGGTGGGGGAGGAGAGGAGAGAAAAGCAATGACCGTTAGGGTAAGAGATTACTATGATAATTCTATGACACAGAACACTAGCATGAAGCATATGAGCCAAGATAGCTAGAGCACTTTACAAAGGAAGCTGTACTTAACATCCAGGAACTCTCACACATGTATTCATTTGCTTGCACAGCGAGCTATGTTTCACATTCAGTAGGTGTCTATGAGGTAATCTGATCTTCCATTCCCAAAAATGTTTCATGGGCTACTTGGGAGAAAAATACCCAAGTCAGAGCTTGGAACTAGATACTAGTTTGTGCTTGCTGCTTCATTTGTGTGCATATTTTGGCAGCCATTTTTTCAGCATTCTTTCTGAAAATATATCTGACTCAAAACAAGAGATTTAAAAAAAATCATACAAATTATACAACCAGAACTGTGTGAGAACGTTGCCCATCTCCCTCCATTATTTTTCCAGGTCCCGTTGGCCCATTTTATCACTTTGCAAGTTTATTCTAAAACATTACACCAGGTAAAGAGCTTGGGAAATCCCTGACATGTAAGGCTGTAGAAACACAGGTAGATACAGCTTGAACGCAGGGAATGGGGAGGAGTAGGAGATGCCGGATTGTGCTTGGGACTGCTTAGGAACTACACACAGGAAGAGACCTAGCTCCTGCCAAACCAGGCAGGAAGTCACTCTCATCAAAGGTCTGTAGCTTGGACCCCCTGACTTAGCAACCTGCTGCTAGAGTGTAATTGTTTCTTAAATTAACAAATTTGCCATACAGGAGAAAATTCCAAAGAGATAGCCTAGTTTTTCAAATGAGTCTCATTTTATAAAAATCTAACAGAGTAGCTGGGGTATTCATTTCAGAATTTGAATTTGAAAAATTAAATAATAAGTTTAATTTTGTTAAGCAAACATTTTTATAATGGGTCACTATGACAACAGAAATGAAGTTTTACTGATATTTCAATCATACAAATTTTATTATAGTAGGTAACTCGTGAGAATACAGCAATCTTTTCAAACATAATCTTTGAATCAGAGATTTGCAAACAATGCAACCCAAACCGACGTCCGTACAAACCAATTTATTTTTGTCTTTAAAAAATAACCCATTTCAACCTCCCACACTATAGAAATGAGAATTGCCTCTGAAATACATAGGAAACATTTTAAAGTGTAAAATATGCTAGTATTCACTTCATACCAGATAAAACAGAAGCTATATAACAACAGCTATATAATAACTGTTGGATAGTTTCCATGAGAATTTTTTGAAGTTGACCAGAACCATTCAGACACTAGCTTTTAGATTGTTCTCGCAGTATGACAGTACCTCCTAAAACACACCTTATTTTCCTTACCCATCCCTAGAGACCCTTGTGCCTAGCAACAGGGACCAGCACGAAGATGGTCTTTGACACTCAAGGGAGGAAACTGCCATGCCTGGATGCTCTGATAGAAGAGACATGCTAAAACATGCAGCTACAGCTTCAAAATGAAAGTGGTTCCCCTGCAGATTTCCCCAAGGATTCTACTGTAAAGGTACAGAAGCATCACAGAGACAAGCAAAATAGAATATTAAAACATTACCCCTGCAGAATCTTTTACACTCAGAGTTTGGAATTGATAAGCTGGTACCAAGAAGACTGTAGCTAAAATTCCATCATGCTTAAAAAAAAATCTTTTTCTTTTTCTTTCTTTTTTTTCTTTAATTCTCCTTCAAAAGACCACACCTAACTTCCTGTAAAAGGATTCTGGTAACTGAAGTAGGGACAGGCATTTCCTGTCTGGGACTACAAAGTGACATTATTGTAACTACCACTAGAGGGCGGGGGAGCTGTAAAAAAAAAAACACACAAAAAACCAAAAACCACCTTTTCCGAATACACAGACACACAGAAAACAGTCCAAAGCTTTCAGTAATCTTACACCTAAACGTTACAACGTTGCTGATTTCAGCTACTAATTTTACTAACTACCAATACCACTGTTCATATTGTATGTTCTAAGCCAGAAAGCCATTTAATGAATAAAAATCAAGTTAAAGTAAAAAGAAAGGGTTAAAAGCAAAAAAATCAAATAAAACAGCAAATATATGAATGAAGGCATTACTTATAGTTGTAATCAACATTAGCCTCACCACTAGAGAAACTCAATAGAATTCCATATTGATTCAACAGATGGCCTTTGTGTCACAAAAGTTAACTTTCCCTAGGAAAAATTAACCTGATGTTATATTGATTCTATTTTGCTTCTGGCTTAGTACACTGAAAACAACTAGCTAAAACAACTCCATCGACAGAGTTCTTGAATGCCAGTCTTCTAACTGATAATATAGTGCTAGTTTTGAGCTAAATTGTCTACACAAAATACCACATTTCTTCCTCTCTATATCTTTATTGAGTAAATGCTTTCATGGTCTATATTAGAAAACTGAAGAAAAGAGGTACCCTATGATTAGGGAAAAATCCTCTAAAATGGTATAATCAGAATTCAAACTCAAGGTCTGACACCAGAAATCTGTGATATTTATTCATTCATGAAAAGAAAGAAGCAGTTCTAACTATTAAACTTGCACACTTGTACATTTAGCAAATCTACTTTTTGGAAATAAAGTCAAGTTATAGACTATATATATATATATGTAATATATATATCAGATATCTTTCGATTATAAGAAGAATTTTCAAGCTAAGTGAATCAAGAAGACAAACAAGGAGAAAAAGAAATTTATAGGTTTATAGTTTATAGCTTATTGACTAGAGAGATAAATAATTGATTGCTTTGTAGCTTTTTGGTCTAGGGCTAACTTTAAGATGATTGAGGAGCTCAATTTGCAATAAGAGGATATAAGTTTACTTCTGTAGTGATTGGTTTTGTAGCATTTGCTAGTGTGTCACACTTGATAAGATGTTATTGGAAACCCAGCCTACCAAACACCAAGACTAAAGTCTAATAGGAGAAAGACTCAGAAAATCTCTCACTGACTCTTGCTTGCTCCCATTGGATTATCTGCTCATCTTGTACTAAGTAAGGCAATGCTTCCCTGTCACTGGCCTCCCCTGAGCCAAACACCCTTCATCCATGGAATGAAGTCCTAACAGAGTCATAGGCATGATATAGAAAAAAAATGTAAAAACAGAGTTGGGGTTCTGTTACTTGGATGAGTAGGTAATCCATATTGGACAACAAAAGAACAGGTACGTACTCTGACATACACTAATTGAATTTGCAATGTGTCAGTGTTTAGAAAATAACATTAGTATCAATCGAGGAATGCTACACAAGTATGTGTATATATAGTCACATGTGTATATGTATGTGTGTATGTACATAAACTATGTATTTACAGTCTCTTTTTGTCTTTGTCTCTGTCTCTCTCTGCCACTCTTGCATAAGTAGCAAATTAGGTAGCAGGCAAATCTGGCTTCCCAAAGAAAACTGAGCTACTGTCATGAACAAACAAATACTTCACTCACTGTCTATGGTGAACATCGTGTTTTTATCAAATGAATGTTCACATTTTACTTTACAAATTTTCACATAAATTAACCAAATTGTTTGAAGATTATAACTGAAAACTAAATTGGGGAATAAAACATCTTCAAGGTGATTTGTAAACACTTCATTGAGGAGATACACAACAGATTATATCTACTTTAGGTCAAGGACTATTTTAAGAGTTATGAAACCATTTAACCCTTTAACAATTGAATGAAATAGATACTATGATCTTCTTCATTGACAAAATATGGAATGCTGGTTATGGTGGCTCACCCCTATAATTCTAGCTACTGGAGATGATTAGCTAGAAGAATTTTTTTCAAGGCCAGAGAAATTCACAAGATTGCATCACAACAGAAAAAGATGAATGTTGTAGAACATTCATGTCAACTTATCTATGGCAGGAAACGCATGGTCCAGGCAGAGACTTAGGCAAAAAGGAAGACCCTACCTTAAAATAGCCAGTGAAAAAACTGGGTGGAGGAAAGTATGAGACCCTGAGTCCAAACCCTAGTACCTTAACAAAACAACAACAGCAGCAACAACAATAACAACAACAAACAACAACAAAAGGATATGGAAATGGAGGTACCAACAAGTTAAGTAACCCTCAACGCATCTAAGTTATTACAACTGAAAGTAGCAAAGTCAGAGTCAAAGCTGATTGTTGTCTGGCTACAGAATCCATTTTGCAATATTATGCAATTCCGAAGCTTTTTTTCTTTCTGCAATCATTCACTGTCTGAAGCACTCTAAGATACATGAAATTTCTTTGACATTTTACTAGTTGTGGGAATACTCCTTTCTCTCCCATTGACCCTAACAGAGAGAAATCTTGGAGCATTTCAAAGGGTGCACATAAATTATTTTACCAAAACATCTTCCACATAAAGAAATCAACCTCTAACTCATGCTGAGTGCTGGTGCCTGTCTCATTGCTGTCATCCTAGCTTCTCAGGAGGCTGAGATGCAAGGACTAAGATTTGAAGCCAGCCTTGGCAGACAAATTTCAGAAACTCTTATCTCCAATTGACTGGCAAAAAGTCAGAAGTAGAGATGTGACTCAAGTGATAGAGCACTAGGTCTTGAGAAAAGCTCCAGTACCGGCAAAAAAACAAAAAAGAGGTTTCCCATCTCCAAGAGACTCTGTAATGTAGATTTGAAATAAAAGCTATAGGCTCTTTTCTCTAATTCCCTAGCATATGTAGTAATAATTATTGCATAACTAATTTTTCTCCATAAAGACCAGCATTTATATAATAAGGGTTCTAAAGATAAACTTATACCAAGAAAATGCCTGGGTTATTCAAACTCACAGATAAAGATATAATCATAAAATAATTATAATGAATGGTTGTGAGTAACAAGTATTTAAAAACTTAGAGACTTTTGTACCCAAGGATTAGGAAAGCTGAGACTACTGAAAAATATCTTTTTCTGGAAGTGACCTTAAAATATTATTTTACAATTGTTAAT